AAGCCTGGCAGCTGAGTTCTGGACAGTCTGGAGTCGATCAATAGATTTTTGGGTTGAAAAGTGAAAAGGCTGTTGCAATAATCCAGGCGTGATGAGATGAAGGCGTGTAAAATGGTTTCAGTGTCCTTAAAAGTTAACATAGATCGAATTTTTGCTATATTTCTAAGTTGATAAAAACATGATTGAACAAGCTTTGTGGTGTGCTGCTCGAAATTTAAATTACTATCAAACCAAACACCAAGGTTCTTTGCAACAGGCTTAATGTGATTTACTAGGGAACCAGCAGATGGCAGTATTTGATTTGCCATCTGCTGGGACCCAATGACCAGGATTTCTGTTTTGTCTGAGTTCAGCTGGACAAAATTATTTGACATCCATTTTTTAACTTCACAAAGGCAGTTGTTAAGTGAAGTCAGCATTCCAGGGTCTGTGGATCTGACGGGCAAGTATATTTGTGTGTCATCAGCATAAATATGAAATAAATAAATAACAGTTTATGGATAATATGTCCAAGGGGAAGCAGATACAAGGAAAACAAAATGGGTCCTAAGACCGACCCCTGAGGCACACCATATTTAACTGGACAGAACGAAGAGACATAGTTGTTTACAGACACGCAAAACTTCCTATTTGACAAGTAGGATGAAAACCATTCTAGGGCAGTACCTTCAGGTACTTCCTGAAACCAGACTGAAACTTTTCAAATACTTGAAAACTTGATTACCTGGAGAGATTAAGCTGACAAAAGCAATGATACCAGCCACTGCTTGCTGCTCAAGAGCTCTTAATTAATGACATTAGTATGCATTCCTTTATGTAGCCTATATATTTTGCTAGTATACATTACATAAACAAATTACGGTGGCCACTTAAACTGTAGCTGGAGGAAGAAAACTATTGGCCAACACTGGCACAATTGTGAAACAGACTTACTGTATAACTTCAGATTTTAAGGAAAAATGATCATTTTGAGCCCAGTTTTACCAAAACAGTGTCCGCACTCCTCTCAGGCACACACTCAGATGCCTAGTCCCTTTCCTTTGCATGGAACTGTTCCTCAAGTGCTGTCCTTTGTTAACATTCCCAATTTGACCACAATATCACATGATCCGCTACACTGCACACCAGTCATAGCAGCATTAAATGAGAGCATCAATCTTAAGTAGCTTCTTCAGCTAATGCTCTCAAGACATATAGGGGAAATACTAGGCCAATCTGAACTCATGCCATCATAATGCATAAACACTCTGATGACTGTGCAGCCAACGCAGGGACCTGAGGTAAAATTCCATGTGTCACCCTTTAACTCTTTTTTTCTTTCTGTGCTTTTAAACCAGCTATCATCATGTCTGACATTCAGCATGCTATGGAGCTCCTCATCAAAGCTTTCAGTAAATACGCTGGGAAGGAGGGGGACAAGAACACCCTGAGTAAAGCAGAGCTGAAAGAGCTGCTTCAGAATGAACTAGGATGTCTGCTGGGGGTGAGTGACCTCGGACGTCTCTCTATCTCAGTCCTGCACAAACAACTGGATGCACACTGGCTTACTCTACATGTGTGTTGTGGTACATTGTATAAAGAGGATGGTGAATGCTCTTGTTAGAATTTGTGCATAATCACAGCCAGTGGTACTTTCTGGTTGTGCACATGCCCAGTAACAATCTTCCCTGTTTAGTGTGTATGTCTGAAAGTTGTGTAGCCAGTCAACATGTTCACTATCACTTATCTAACCTACAGAAAGCCTCTGACAAGGCAGCAGTGGACCACATCTTCAAGGAACTGGACAAAAACCAGGACAACAGTGTGGACTTCGAAGAGTTTGGCAGAATGGTCTTCTGCCTCACTGTGATGTGCCACGAGTACTTCACTGCCAAAAAATAAGGATCCAAGCGCCACCTTGGGGCCAGCATAGAGAGTTGCCTTCCTGTGAAAGACAAGAGTATCCCATGACCACTATTCTGAAAAGGAATACATATTTACTACTATTTACTAAATTACCATGAAGTCTGAAAAAATTATTTGTAACACAAAATGAAATAAAGTTTTTTTTCTTTGAAACACTTTGTGTGTTACTGCAAGGAACAAGTGTGACAATGTAGGATAGTTTTACAGACATGTAAGCACCATAGCCTAAGTAAGCTTATGATATTTCTGATGCCCAAAACACTAGCTGTGGTTATGTTTTGTTGGCACTAAGCTTTCAGACCTTAAATCTTCAGTACAGGAAGAATTGCAGGTTGTGACAGGAAGGATGTCACTGATGTTGCTTGTAGAGGTGGAAATAACAGAGCACATTTAAAACACATTCAAAACATATTTAAAGCAAGACTGAGTTACTTTCAAAAAATAACACAACCCTTACTTGGTCTGGCATGACCAGTAGTTTATGGTGACTAATGATTGCTACTTTAACAAACCTTAGATGCTGTGTAATCATTATATTAAATTTTTCTGTAATTGTGGCCACAGGAAGGCTTTGGTGGGGCTTCTTTATGGAGGTCTGCATGGTCTTCTGTGTGTGGCTTTCCTGTGGGTGCCCCAGTTTCTTTGCACAGTTGCAGTGGTCTTTATGTGTTAGCCTTGTGAGAGACTGGCCTGGTTACCCTGCCTCTCATCCCGTGCATGTCAGAACAGGCTGCCATGATGAGGGGATATAAAAAGTGGATGAACAGCATAGTTAAACTCTACTATACTAACTAACTATATATGGATCACCACATGCAACTATGCAAGTGTGCTTTAACATTGTAGACAAATTAATACTTTTTATTGTGATATACCTCCATCAGTAGGTATGTTCTGCTCATACTATAGGTTTCAAGTTAGTAAGTAAGTAAGACTTTAGCTTCAAATCAAATATTTTCCATGGTGGCATTGGAACTATTAGTAAAAAGATTTCCTATCACTGATTTATATGTGTTTCTTTTACTGGACACTTTTGTCCTTGCAGTTTCTTTAAAATTAGCAATCTGTACTTCTATTTCGCATGCCAGTCCCTGTTTAGATGGATTACACAAGACAACATAAAACAAAGCACACTTATCAGTGTTTGGCATTTGGGGAAAAAAAACATTTTAGATGGATGAATGTTACTTACTAGCTTGCTTTAAAGGGATTCTGCTTTTTTCTGTATTGTTTCGAAATACTTTAGGTAGAGGGTTAACAGCCCCATGAAGATGACTGGCTACTGTTTTTGACCCTTAAGAGTTTACATAACTGTCTGTACTTCAGACCTTATTTTAAAAGGAATATATACATACTCACACACACACACACACACACACACACACACACACACACACACACACACTTCTCAAAAAAATACCAAAATAAAACTAAAATAACACATCCTAGATCTGAATGAATGAAATAATCTCATTAAATACTGCTTTCTTTACATAGTTGAATGTGCTGACAACAAAATCACACAAAAATTATCAATGGAAATCAAATTTATCAACCCATGGAGGTCTGGATTTGGAGTCACACTCAAAACCAAAGTGGAAAACCACACTACAGGCCAATCAACTTTGATGTCATGTCCTTAAAACGAGTCAAAATGAGGCTCAGTAGTGTGTGTGGCCTCCACGTGCCTGTATGACCTCCCTACAACACCTGGGCATGCTCCTGATGAGGTCCTGAGGGATCTCCTCCCAGACCTGGACTAAAGCATCCGCCAACTCCTGGACAGTCTGTGGTGCAACGTGGCGTTGGTGGATGGAGCGAGACATGATGTCCCAGATGTGCTCAATTGGATTCAGGTCTGGGGAACGGGCGGGCCAGTCCATAGCATCAATGCCTTCCTCTTGCAGGAACTGCTCACACACTCCAGCCACATGAGGTCTAGCATTGCCTTGCATTAGGAGGAACCCAGGGCCGACCGCACCAGCATATGGTCTCACAAGGGGTCTGAGGATCTCATCCCGGTACCTAATGGCAGTCAGGCTACCTCTGGCGAGCACATGGAGGGCTGTGTGGCCCCCCAAAGAAATGCCACCCCACACCATTACTGACCCACCGCCAAACCGGTCATGCTGGAGGATGTTGCAGGCAGCAGAACGTTCTCCACGGCGTCTCCAGACTCTGTCACGTCTGTCACATGTGCTCAGTGTGAACCTGCTTTCATCTGTGAAGAGCACAGGGCGCCAGTGGCGAATTTGCCAATCTTGGTGTTCTCTGGCAAATACCAAACGTCCTGCACGGTGTTGGGCTGTAAGCACAACCCCCACCTGTGGACGCCGGGCCCTCATACCACCCTCATGGAGTCTGTTTCTGACCGTTTGAGCAGACACATGAACATTTGTGGCCTGCTGGAGGTCATTTTGCAGGGCTGTGGCAGTCCTCCTCCTGCTCCTCCTCGCACAAAGGCGGAGGTAGCGGTCCTGCTGCTGGGTTGTTGCCCTCCTACGGCCTCCTCCACGTCTCCTGATGTACTGGCCTGTCTCCTGGTAGCGCCTCCATGCTCTGGACACTACGCTGACAGACACAGCAAACCTTCTTGCCACAGCTCGCATTGATGTGCCATCCTGGATGAGCTGCACTACCTGAGCCACTTGTGTGGGTTGTAGACTCCGTCTCATGCTACCACTAGAGTGAAAGTACCGCCAGCATTCAAAAGTGACCAAAACATCAGCCAGGAAGCATAGGAACTGAGAAGTGGTCTCTGGTCACCACCTGCAGAACCACTCCTTTATTGGGGATGTCTTGCTAATTGCCTATAATTTCCATCTGTTGTCTATTCCATTTACACAACAGCATATGAAATTGATTGTCAATCAGTGTTGCTTCCTGAGTGGACAGTTTGATTCCACAGGAGTGTGATTGACTTGGAGTTACATTGTGTTGTTTAAGTGTTCCCTTTATTTTTTTGAGCAGTGTATATATATATATTTTTGTTGTTGTTGTTTTGTTTTGTTTTGTTTTTATTTATTTATATATATATTTGTTACTTTCGGTAACGCCTCCTGGAGGTCACGTTGTGTGGCCGTGTTTCGTGACGCCACAGAGGGGCGGGTTATCAACAACAGACGGTCTGTGGAGCTAACGTTACTGAGGGACAGAGCTCAAGTGTTGTTTTGAATTTGCTGGAAGACACCGACTGGAAAGGGGGCTAGGGTCTTTGGAGAAGATGGCGGATGTAGGAGGTGATGAAACTCGGTCAGATCTTCCTTCAGTATCCCGTAACGGTCCAGTCGTCGGTCCGTCCGCGGGCCAAAACACAGCTATCGTAACGTCAGGTCCACGGACGGTGAGGATCGTCAAGTCGGAGTCGGGATACGGTTTCAATGTTCGCGGTCAAGTTAGCGAAGGGGGACAGCTTCGGAGCATCAACGGGGAACTCTACGCTCCTCTTCAGCATGTCAGCGCTGTTTTGCCCGGAGGTGCGGCAGACCGAGCTGGGATAGCAAAGGGTGACAGGATCCTGGAAGTGTAAGTCTGCTCCTACCCGATCAATTAAGCCTGGTAGTTAGCATGTACAGCTAGCTACCCAGTTTAGCATGTGTTGATCCAATTTCAAGCATGTAACATTGGCCATATTTAAGGTTTAACATCACCTGTCTGTTATGACAACAACAGTAGTCTTTTGACTATTAAGTTAGCTGACTAGTTATTTGTTAAGTTTACGGGCATTCGTAGCTAATTAAACATTTGGTGATGTAACGTTAGCATTAGCTAAATCAAGCTAATGCTAGTGAGTTAACTAGAAAGCTAACCTGCTTACATAAGTTGGACAACAGGCTGTGCATGTTGATTAGCTGTAGCTAGCTAGCGAGCCAGGTAGCTAACATCTTGTTTAGCTAGCCTTTTACGCAGTCACTGCTTCAGTGTGGTTGTGAGGACACAATTGAACTGCCAGCTTTGATGGCATTACATTTTCAGAGGAATAATAGTAGGGATGTGTATTTTGACACTGCCCAAAGACAGTGGGTGACAATGTTGTCAGTCAAATTATTCAACAACATTATGTGTGTGTGTGTGTGTGTGTGTGTGCGCGCGCGCGCGCGCGTTTCTTGTCTTGAGGTGACAGCTTCACAACAGGCAGGCTGTTCACATGGGACAATTGAAAGTGCTGTCTATTGTTTTTGCCCTCATCGGTGTACTGGAGTGGTTTTAATATACATGGCTTTATCATGGAGAAATCTTGTAGATGTGGTTTCTGTTTGGTCAAACTCTTTCTGTCTTGCTAGGTGGGGGGCAAATGAACTGTCAGTCTTGACCTAAAGGAGATTTTGATGAAAAAGCTTAAGCCTTTAACCTTTAGCAGATATATAATAGTCAATTTTAAGAGAGTCCCCAGTTCATATTTGTAAACAGGTTGATTTCTAATAACGTCAGTGTCCAAAGGTAAACCAAACTATCAGTGATTCTCCCATGGTTGTAAGCCTTTCCCCAGTCAAAGGGCAAATGCTGGACAATAAAGGGAACTATATAATAATTGTGAATAATTATGCATAATTGCTACAGTTATTCTGTATATGTTTTGTAGAAGTCTGTGTATTTGTGGCTGTATCATCAGGGTTTGAGCAGTAGCCTAGCCTGAAGGCTAAACTTAGAATAAGGGAGAAGAGAAACAGAAAACAAGGAACATTGGTTTACTTCTCTTTGCTGAGGCATCAAAACAACCTGTGTTTTCTCCATTTTACTGTCAAGTGTTTCTCTGGTCATATGACTGGATCAGTGCTTATCATGTGACTTATTAACCAGCTTGACTAATGTTGCAAAACATGCAGTTAAGTATGTCATACCATCGTTTCATTAGTGATAACCAGCTAACGTGTGGAATTTCTTTACTGACTACTGCCTGGTTAAGCTTGTGTAGAGCATCAGATTTTTTTATTGTCACATTAAACTGAATGCCATTAACTTGCTGTGCTCTTGTATATGTGCAGGAGACTGATAATGGCATGAGGTTTTGTAAGGCTTGACCTTAGTGGTAAGCTATTAGTGGATTAATATCCTATCCATTAGTGATTGATAAAATAATTAGATTTCGGCCAACGCAATGTGAAGAGCTGCTTTCTTATCTCTTGTTATCTATTTTGTTTTTTATTTTCTCTGCTTGTTAGACAGCACTTTAAATTGTTTTTCATAGACTACATATTTCAACAAAACATACTCACTACACTACATTAATTAATGATGAGATTAGCTGATGACAAAATAGTTGCAGCCCTGCTTCAGTGTTAATATTAGTCTGCCTAATTCACATCCTGTCAACCCACTTTGTTGCTGATCATCAACTGAGACATTTCTCTAGTATTGCTTTGTTTCGGTTTTGTGTTTAAACACATGATGGGGTCAAAGTAGTGTTGAGACCAAAACCCTTTTAACTTCACCTTTTTGGTCTCCTCCTACCCACAATTTTTGTAGTTGTTTCAGTTGGACAGCTCAGACGAATGTCATCATGTCACTGTCTATTCCTACAATAGACCTGCTCTCCCATCTCCTATTGTTGACCTTTTTCCACTGCTCCCTCTTTATCTGTTTAAAGTGTTCCCACTTTGATGCACTGTACTATACAGATATACTTTTATAAACAATAATGGAGACATGGTATACAGCGGACAGACCATAGACACTGTATTTAAAGATGGATGACAAGACAGCTCCCCAAAAGTGAAGCCATAAAATCTCAATCACCCCCTTGTTGCTGGCTGCAGTATGGGTCATATACCCTGCCCTCTTCGTGATAGCGAAAGTACACGTCGTATCCATTTTCCCAAAGATGGTTTATGTCATTTAGGTAGATCTTATCACATGAATGTTTATTAGAGTGTTCATTATCTGATAAATTTGATTTTAATTAGTTATGTTGTGCTATAAAAAGGGGGTTTCACATCATGATCGACAGTCAAGCAGGTGTATGGAGGGGATCTTGAAACCCTGGCTCCAACCCAGATCATTACTATGCAGACTCTGGCTCCAAATGACGTCACCAGCGCAAGAAGGCAGCACCTGTACTCAGGATATTTTGGCTCCATTTTTGTGCAGTTTGAAGAAGTTGAGACACATCATCCATCTTTACATACAGTCTGTGGGACAGACCTATGCTTGCGGTCTTGCTTGCTCCCTCCTCTCCTGTGTCTGTCCTGCTGTTTCTCATAGGAAGATTAGCAGGGACACCTGATGCTGGTGCCATCTGGCCTCAGCAAAGCCAAGAAGGGAGGTGTCTCACAGCACCAAAGGAAAGGGAGACATTAGGTCTGACCTGGTTAGTCAGCGCTTCCTGCATCATGTTTATCAATGGAGGACAAAATGCACTGACATAATCACACGCCCTAATAGGAAAATTAACAGAATGCATATTTGCACCATTAGTAACATATTTTGTAATCATGCAGTGCAGATCTGAGATGGGTTATTTTGTTTAGGGATCCCTGGATGGAGCTGTGCACCAAAACTGGACCAATCCAAATTAAATAAAGTTTCTTTTTCAGTCACTATAAAATGTGTGTTTTTGCCATCTGTTGCATTCGTTCAGTCACAGTGGGCTGACTCAGTCTTTAGTGCTACAGCTATTCGTGGCCTCATGTTACCTTACATAAAAATGACTATTCAGTGGATGATTTTAAATGTGGGGAAATGAGAGCTCTAGTGTCAGATTGGTATTTGATTTTGGGAGAGACCCTGAGTTGAATTATTGGAATTGGTGTCAGGAGAGAAATGGTTAGATCTGTGCATCCCTAACATTATTTCCACTGAAGATGCATGTTAGAATACTTAAAAAAGCAGTATTAGTACATTCCTACACTAATTTCACACTAATGCAGCATGGTAAAGGTCCAGTCAAGCCCTGATCTGTTCCCTCTGTGTGGAGTGATAGGAGTCATCTGCCATGCTGAAACATAAATTGAGCGTGTGAAAAACAGTGGGATGAAAGGGTTTCAAAGCTCTTTGCTGACTTTCTTTCTGTCTCTCCATCACTTCTTCCTCCGCCTTTCTCTTGCCCTCACTTTCCCTCCAGTAATGGGGTGAGTGTGGAAGGTGCCACCCATAAGCAGGTGGTGGACCTGATCCGGGCGGGGGAGAAGGAGCTGGTTCTGGCTGTGCTGTCTGTTCCACCTCAGGAGGCTGATGGATTGGAAGGAGGAGAGGATGTTCAACCCAACTATGACTACAGTGACAAGCAGGCAGTGCCCATTTCCATTCCCACATACAAACATGTAGAGCAGCACTCCGAGAGGTTTGTGGTAAGTGGCTGACATATTACCTTACCTTTTCTTCCTTGAAACAGACTCTCGTGGTATTCGCGGTATTCTAACTCTTACATGCTATGGTCCGTCTCTCCTGACCATAGGTGTACAACGTGTACATGTCAGGCAGACAGCTGTGCTCAAAGCGCTACCGGGAGTTTGCTATCCTGCACCAGAACCTGAAGAGGGAGTTTTCCAACTTCAACTTCCCGAAGCTTCCCGGTAAATGGCCGTTCTCCCTGTCTGAACAGCAGCTGGATGCTCGTCGCAGAGGCCTGGAGGAATATCTCGAGCGAGGTAGGCTGATTTGGAAAAGTCACTGGCGTATAAACCCACTTGTGTGTTGATTTTCAACATGGGTAAAAGACAAAAGGCTTTTCTGTTACCAATCCATATGTTGTTTGGGAAGACTAACCACTCCATTTTAAAAGGCTGACGTTCAAGTATGTAAGTTATTTCATCATTAAAATCCACAATAAATCCATACATACCAAAAATGTTATGTATGCATACAGAAATCATGTTGTTAGGATGAAAAATTGTCCAAGCACTGGCTGTGATAAATTTTCCACTGTACACTGAAAATACAGCACAGGATACAGGCAAAGTGACATTTAGCAGACCTTTTGTTTATTTGATTAACTTTGACCTCCGGTCTTTCTCTTTGTCTTGTTTCTCTCTAGTTTGCTCTGTGCGGGTGATCGGGGAGAGTGACATCATGCAGGAGTTTCTCTCTGAATCAGATGAGGTATGCGTTTCATTTATTGTTCTGATATTGACTTTACTAGATGTTGATGTGGCTATTTATGTGTGATTGGTGTTTCTGTTTTCAAATGTCATAGCTTTGAGTGCGGAAAGTTTTGTCTACAAAACCTTCTCCGTCTTGGAAAACAGGTTGTCTGCACAGCACCGCAGTACCTTGTTTATTATATTGTCTACTGGACTTTCCAAAGTTAGATCAATATTGAGCTTTTCTAATGGTATTAGGGATGTATTTATCTTATTCTGAGCCTATTCAAGAGGATGTGGGGGAATTTAAACCTATATGTATTTAACCTTACTCAGTCTTTCAGTGTAAAAAAAAAATAAAAATTTTTCCAAAAACAAGCATCAGCAGTTTTGGGTTAAAGTAGCTGACAGCCCGTCATGTCTGCCAGTATGGAGTTTAAACTGGAGAGTCAAATAGCTAATTATGTTGCCTGTCTAGTGAGAGGAAGGACAGCAGCAGAAACAAATGCAAAACAATGGAATTAATCCGGCACTTGAGGGGAGGATAAGGACTTCTGACAGATGGAAGTTTTGGTTTAGTTATGTCTTGTTTGTTTTTTTTAAATCCAGAAGTACTTAACAGTAATTCAGAACAAACGCCTCATACAAGCTGACACACTCCCTTGTTAATCCAGACATGAGTTAATGCAGCTCAGCAGCTGTTCTCATTATGTGTTGCTTCGCTTCGCAGAACTACAATGGAGTGACAGATGTAGAGCTGCGGATAGCCCTGCCAGACAAGACCACCATCTCTGTCAGAGTCCGCAAGAACAGCACCACAGACCAGGTGTACCAGGTAGGAACACATGACACCTGCTGGGATGATGCTATCATACAGCTATATTGTACAGTTTATTGCCCCATTGTTTGGACATCTGAGTTGGCCTTTGCATTCAGTTCCTAGCTAGAATTATGACAATGAGGATTGCAAAGTCAAACCATGTCTACTGGTAAATACATGATCCATTCCAGGTGTAGAACATATTTTTATACTGAAATAAAAATGCAGACTCACATTTAAAAAGAGTATAGATGGATATTAGAAATTTTAAAACAATGTTTTTCTTACGCAACTGACTCTGTTTTGCTCTTCCTGTAGGCATTAGTGTTGAAGGTTGGAATGGACAGTATTATGGCGAGCTACTTTGCCCTTTTTGAAGTCATCAACCACTCTTTTGGTAAGAACAGGATATGCATTTGATGTTTATGGTTGTTTCACAGGGAAATTCACATTCTCTAATGTATTTAATTTAAAAACCCTCTCTTGGTGACTGCATCATCACATGACCACTGGTTGTCTAAATAAAGGGCTGTATCTGCCCACAAGTGAGTTTAATTCATTGGGCCAAGGGGTTTGTGTGCAGTTTTGAACAGCAATTGCAGGTTATTTGGTACAGGCTAGAATTTTTTTGATGACTAAACAGACACCCTCTCCCCTGCTGTTCATACCCCTCCTCATCCCACTCCTTCTTTCTATTGTTTGTTGCAGTGCGGAAACTGGCGCCTAATGAGTTTCCCCACAAGCTTTATGTGCAGAATTACACATCGGCAGTGCCGGGGACTTGCTTGGCGCTCCGCAAATGGTTGTTCAGCTTCCAGGAGGAGGAGTTGCTAAGAGACAACCCGCTGGCACTGCACTACTGCTTTCACCAGGTAATAACAATAATTGAATCCCGCTTCTCATAGACTTAAGGGAACTCAGCACAAAATTTCATCTTCTGGGAGTTTTTGACAGTCTGCCAACAGTTTATATACTCCTTTCTGAGTTTATACATGTTGGAGGTGTCAGCTTTTTTTGGTCATGGATCCTTTCTGCCATAATCAGGGAAGTGTACTGTATGACTCCCATTTGTTTACTCTTAACTACTACTGGTCTCCGAATCTTCCAGTCCAACTAGTTAATTGTTCCTACAGTTAAAAATTAGGTTTTAGTGTGGCTTTTGAATGTATCCACAGTTGGTGTAAACTAGGGCTTCCTCCAACTAAAGATTTTCTAGTCATTTGTTTAAGCCATAAGTCTACTAGTCATCGCACAGTTGTACTTATTCAAATATATAGTTGGTCCATAAAAGGGTTCCAGGGATGAGAAAGTAACATTGTTTACACTGTGCTACATTACAGAGAAATACAAACCGTAATAATGAGCCTTTAAAATATATATTTTACAAACGCAAGCACAAAGTGAGCAGTCTGTTAAACTCTACAGCGATACAACATACACACATAAACTGTAATTATTGTGAATGTGTCGGAACACCCAGCAAGGAGACTGAACATTTTGTTAATATATTTCGACACAGTATAACGTCACACAAGTCTCGTTCAAAACACGGGAATCAATAACTTCCAACTTTACAAAAAAAATACTTGCACACATATCAACACGATGGATGGTGTAATGTTACTGTCAAATGAACTCGCTACAGTCTCGCTCCTCTTCCACTTGATGCCTCTCCTGTCCCTGCCTGGAGTTTGAGGTTTTAGTTGATTTTTCTGCGACTACCAGACTAATGAAAAGTTTGTCGACCACAAGGGGGCAGCCCCAGTGTAAACACATTCAGGTTCACCCTTCCAAGTGAATGTGCACCTTTTACCTATCCAACTTTCCTAGAAATTCAAGACAATATGATATCTTATGATTGCCAAACTCGTTTGACCAAAAATATAACAATTTTAAAGTTTTCTCCTGTAAGGCTAATTTCCCCAAAACTTTGACATTAAAACAAGCTAATCCAGTCTTTGTGGTAGCTGATTTTTTGTCAGCTGGGAGTCTGTTTGCAAATAAGTATGTTATGAACTTAACAGGAATCCAGAGAAGTTTTCCACAATATTTGAAGTGTAAAATGTCAACTGGAAAATATAATCCTCTGATGTAAATGTACTAAAAAATAGCAGCAGCAGCCTACAGGCTGTCCGCTGACCAATAAAGGTCATCACCTGAAGCATTTTAGGCATATGAGGTTCAGCAGTGAGTCATTAAAGCAATTTCTACTAGTAAAGTCTGCACATCAACAGATCTAGGAGGTTGCGCTCTGAAAACCAACCTGTCCAGAATACTAAAACTTGCAATAATGAAAACCTGATTTTCTTTGGGTCACTTGGCGGCAACAGAAGCAAGTGTAACACTGTATTGACAAATCATCACCTTTTAAGTTGAACTGGTGAACCTTTTAAGCAAACAGTTGCTTTTACACATTCAGCCAGACATATATTCACTCTCTTTTTATTCTGTTTTTGGCCTCTACCAACTCCTGAGGAAAACATCTGGCTCTTAAACTGACAAATTCTCTAGCATTTTCTCCAGCTAGTCTCTAACTGTGTATCTCCTGTTTGGTGCTGAGCAGGTAGGGAACAGTGGGTTTTTAGAAGTTTTTTCACTGAAAACAGCAACCTGCTGTGGCCAAAAACGACGCTGTGAGAGTAGTGAGAATGAATCAAAACAGTAAAGTTGCAAGGTGGATGGATAAACAAAGAGCTGAAACTTGCTATAAAGCTCCGTAAAGCCAAGGGGAGCTGCATATTCGGATGATACTTCTCTTTAGGTGACCCCTTGCACAATGTAGTTTGATAAATTGTTATAGCCACTTTAAAATGTACACAAGGTTATTGCTACAGTTGAACTTGTTTGCTTGAAGCAGAATATCTTCTTGTTATCTGTTTCTAATGGATTATCTTTTTTGTGCTGTGACCTCAAATGTTAAATAGTGTTGTTTCTCTTCATGCCACCACAACCCCCCGTCCACCTCACCCCCTGTCTGCCCAGGCATTGGAAGATGTGAAGAAGGGATTCATAAAAACAGAGGACAAATCCTACCAGCTGCAGAAGCTGGCAGAGCAGCGCAAGATGGCCACGGTCAGTCCCACAGAACACTCTTTGTTTGGGGAGGGGATTGGGATGGCTACACTTTTTGCCTGCTGACCAGAGCCATCACCAAAATGTTACCAAATAAAAATAGACAGAAAAGTCAGAGACCCTTTCACACTTCAGAATACATCCCTCTATGGTGCAAACCAATAAAGCCATTCTTTTATATTCATGTCTGTAGAATAATAACTGAAAGTGGAATGCATGCAAACAGGACACCTGGTTTGCATCATCAGTATCAGGCACTGAAAAGAACCAGATGGAGAAACCAAAATATTTGGTTACCATACACCCTTACTCCTAGTCCACATTTGCCTGCTAAAGACATGACTGTGAAAGAGATTTCACAATGTCGTGGAAAAGAACGAGAAATTATAACTCATAGCTGAAGCTTGTATCATAACATTACTGCAATGAATCAAATGCTCTGACACAAAAATGAAGACAAAAAATTGGATCTGTGGCTGTCGCAGGACTAATCTGCACGGCCAGTCATTTCATTTGGTCCGAACACAGCCCAAACTGCTTGCTAACTGGGATTTTAGAGTAACTGAACTAAGGAAAGAGATGTCAATAATTGTATTTAGATTTCCAAAACCTGGTTACTTACAGTATTAGTGACTGATGTGTGCTGTATAATACTTTGTATTAGTACCTGAGTCTACTGCGGACATGTGAGGGCTACAATGAGGTGTCGTTCCCCCACTGCTCCTGTGACTCCAGGAGGAAGGGACATGTCATCACAGCTATCAGCATCCATCACTTCAAGCTGCACGCTTGTACTGAGGACGGCACGCTGGAGGTGAGTGTTTGTCTGAGCTGGTTTGATTAAAAAGTATCAAAATCCAGTACAAGCAGAGGAGCCAACTTATCCCTCTTTAAGCAACTTTTTTTTGTTTACCATATAAAATGTAAGACTATATTATATAGTCTTACATTTTTGAATATATATATATGTGTGTGTGTGTGTGTGTGTGTGTGTGTGTATGCAATGTATACATTTTCATAAATACCAGATACTGATTTGTGAATCAAACCAATGGTAAGAAAAGATTTATGTGACTTATTCACAAGGCTAGCCTACTGTAAACGCTCTCCCTCAGAACCAGGTGATAGCTTTTGAGTGGGCGGAGATGCAGCGCTGGGACACCGATGAGGAGGGGATGGCTTTCTGCTTTGAATACACCAGAGGAGAGAAGAAACCTCGCTGGGTAAAGATCTTCACACCATACGTAAGTGTGCACACACCTGCACTGTTGTTTTAAAGTTTCTTTTTTTTTTTTTTTTTTACTGTGTATATGTATTTATTTATTTACATGGTTACAATTTGCGGTTTAAAAATGACAGATGTTGTGATTTTTTTTTTTTTAAACACATGGTTGCAAAACTCCACTAACACCTTCATAATACATACATTACAACACATTTTACTTGACATGTAAACAAAGCCGTAAGAAGAAGAAGCAAAGACAACTGATTAAAAATGTAACTTGTCACTTTGCAGGCTGATTGTGCTGCACTGAAAAGCTGAATAACTTTTCTCTCTGCTTTTTTTTCCCTCGCAGTTTAACTACATGCACGAGTGCTTTGAACGGGTCTTTTGTGAGCTGAAGTGGAGGAAACAGGTAAGGACCACTCCTTTCCTCTTTCATTCTGGGAAGCACATGACTCCATGCCAAGTTTGAAAAACTAAATTTGGCTTATTGCTACATTCATTATTACATTTTTCTTTACAAATACAATAAGCTACTAAGATGTTTTCTTCAGGCTTTTGTATAAAGTCAATTTTGTATTTGCTGGGTATTGATTTCTTTGTCATTAGGTTGAGGAAGAGGCATCTGACAAAGACAACAAAAACTGCAGCAACAACGGTAAGCAGCTTTTTTTTCTTTCTTTTTGCATTTTGTTTTTAGCGTTGGTTATATTCTTATTGTTAACACAGTTGATAAAACAAAGCACCAGCACTGAAGGGTAAAAGGCTAAATTTTATCTAGGGCAAATCATAAAGAAATATGTATTCAGATACATAGCTGTTTGGTGCTTTGAATGACAGCAAGCACCATGAAATTATGCCCTATCTGACAAAATCTGAAAGGGCAAGGGCAGGGAGAGAATTTCAAGTATGCTACCTCAATTCAGTGGGGCTTTACTGGCATGGGAAACAGACCTTTACATTAAAAACATGTACCTAAACAAAAGAATTGTGCTTCTTGTATTTCTGTGGAAGGCAAATATATATGTGAACGTTTTACATGGCCTTAAAAAATGTGCTCTCAGATACGATATTGTTTATTATCTCTTGTGCAGCGCCAGAAAAAAACGGGTTACTGTGAAAAGACATGTACTGATGCATTTGTGTATACAGAGAAGTATTCAGTATAGAAATGTTACTCACTATCAGAGCAGGAACCACACATTAGAGAGAACTATTTGCCGCATGAGACAGCGCAAGGCCAAGAATACAAGTATGCGGATGAGCACCTGCAAGGCATGAGGATAAGTTTGAAACCCTCAGAGTTACAGGAACAAAGACACATAAAGAGCAGCTGAGGACTGAGAGGACATCCCGGATATAAGGCAAGGGCTTCAGCAAGCACTTGTAGAATCACAATCACTACTTGAATGACAGATAAATTCATGGTAGTTTCTTACTGGCACTATTGTTGAGACGCTGACTGATCTGTGTTGTATTGTGGCAGCATTTTCGTAAGTCACATGACATGCACAGAAAAAGAAGCCCGTCATTCAGACTTGTTCCCTGAACTGTCTCTCTGTGTTACAGAGTATTTGCCTCCTCTGGAAACACAGCAGAAGGGATGGCGCCACCTTGGGGGTGAGATTGCAACTTCCTAAAAGGATTTGTCTTCACTCAAACTAGAACTGGTCCACTTGCATCATCACAACCACCCCAGAGAGCGCCCATCGACAGACACGGAACAGAGTGACAGACTGAGGCAATCCATGCCCCGATAAACAAACTGGAAGTGACCAATTTGCGAAATTGGAATGGTCACACTTAACCGACCCCAGGGATACACACAGCAAGAAGAGCAACGAAGGAGAATAAACAAAAGTCAACTTTCATGTCATTTACTAGATCTCCATAGCGTGCCTGTTGTTTTCCTCCATGCATCCGCCCTGTGACGTGGGGCAGGACATGAGCAAATTCTTGCCCCCCCACACAGTACGTGACTGGTCAGGGTCACCACAGCGCTGCGACACCACTTGCGCACCTCGATGATTCGCTACTTGACGGGGGAGCTTACGTGTGAAATAGGATTGTGACGGTTGGTTCCCCAAACACAGTCTGCTCTGCCCAGGAGCCTTCAGCGTGGCCCTTGTCTGCTGAACTGAGCTGAGAGGATGGAGATGAAAATTAGAAGGGAGGGATACAGAAAAAAAGGGGGGATTTCTTTAACAGTTGGTGATAAAGCGAGAAGCAAGATCATGCTTTACACTGATGAAGGACGTTAACACAAAAATTATGTTTTCTGCCTGTAAGGTCAGAAGTCTTCTGTCTTTTTAGAAAACATAGGCGACACAAATATAACTAACTGAAAACAGATGTGACAGGATGTGCTCATAATTATGTTTAACAATTGTCTGATGTTTAACAATTGTCTGATAAAATATAGATTAATATAAGTGCTAAAATAATTGGTTTCTTGATCTAACACAATGAAACAACTGAATTGCGTATAAGCTGCTTTAACAAATCTCCATTTTTCACCTTGTCTTCTGGTCTGTTGGCAGTCTGCCATTAATGTCAGTATGTGTATTTCTGCCATTAATGTCAGTATGTGTATTCATCCCCCCCTCTCGCAAGTGTTTTATTGTGGTAATTTTCCAGAGCTTGGAAGTTTAGAGGAAGGGGCTTTCTGATTATCAGCTGTGTGCAGGGACAATACTCTTGAACAAAAGGTTGATGGGCCAAAGCGTTGATCTTTTTGCGCTATATGGGGAATCTGTCTGACAGATTGTGAACACAAGGGCAGGAAGTTTTCCTGTCTGTTGAGTTGCAGTTTTGTGAACAGGCACCAGAGAGCAGCAAAGTGTAAAGACAGGTTTAGTTGTAGGTTTTTAAGCAGAAATAGAAATCTTCTGAGAGCTTAAAGAGTGATCCCTCGGGCTCTGTAACTCACCCAAAAGTATCACTCCTCTGCAGTTTGCCCATTACCCACGTCAGGAGGACAGATGGTGGGTGTGCGTGTATGTGCGTGCGTTGTAGAAAGAATAGATGGTGCGTAAAGTTGAGTGACTGCAACCACAACCATCAGTATAGCAATGCAGGCAGCAATGTCTGCCTCTTACTGCACCTAAATGAGTACAGTATTAGTTGTGTGCGTTTGCACATGACATATCACAGTTTTACAATGTACACAGATTGTGTTTTTTTTCCTCTGTAGGCGTTTAAAACATTTTTGTCTCATTTTAAGTGTGTAGAAAGCAGGTTAACATGCTGACAAAAAAATGCTTTTGAATGGAGAAAGTGTGCTTAAATGTAGTGATTATACCTGAATGCAATAGAGTTTGGGTTTTTTTTCCCACTAAGGTCTAGTAGTTTAACCTCGGCCGACTCATTACTGACTCAATCTTGTGCTTCACTCGCATTCTGGCAGCGACCAATCTGAAACTGAGAGTGATGTTGGTTTATTTTTTATTCAAACTGACTTTTAGAGCACAAGTTAAAATTTCACTTTTTGTTTTTTTACAGTTGAGCTTAGCTTTTAGTTCAATAAAATGTTTAATTCATGCCTAGGTTGAGTCATAATTTGCTTTCAGTCAGTTACCTTGGAGCATGCTTATGTGTGTGTACGTGCTGTTTTCGTGTGTGCATGTCCTATGTTTAACATTGACATTGCTGATAAGCTTTTAGGCTCTGATTGGATGTATCTGATGAGCTGTCTGTGTGAGAGCCAGCAAATGAAGATGGGGTTTTGTTTCTGTATGACAGCAGAGACGCCAGACAGATGGAGACAAATGGGAGGCGTCTCCTATTGTCTAGCAAACATTTACAGCCGCTCAAATTCTTTTTCAGCATAACACACGCACACATACCTGCTACTCTGTGTTTATGCTTTGACAAAATTGTAAAGTGCAAGATATTTTATTTGACGTCCAGTTGTTGCCTGTGAGGACAGGCCTCAGTTACACAACAGCCTATAGCAATACATATTATACTGTAGTAGCATGTTGTGTCTTTTACACACACACACACACACACACACACACACACACACACACACACACATCCCACACATCCCACAGGTAGCTGGATTGAGAAAGAAAGTGCCGACTGCGAGATGGTCATTTTGACAGGCAAAGTAATAGCCAATTTAGAGATGGATGACATAAGAATTGGAGCTGTTCAACCGTGCGTGTGTGCGTGCGTGCGTGCGTGCGTGCGTGTGCTTTTCTGTCCCCTGTTCTTACTCTCTCTAGGTTGGTCTCCCCATCATCACAGGGGTATGTGGTTGCTGTGGCAGCATCACGTTGGCTCAACACGCTCAGTGCAGCCTCTGTTCCTTTTATTCCTGTCAGCCAACTGACTCACTCTTCCCAGTAATGTATTCGAAGCAGTGTTTTTTACTGTTTGATGTTTGTTCTCTGTCCCTGTGGCTCATGCTTCTCTGAATAGGCTTTTAGAAAGCTGCTGTGTTTTTTTGTTATTTTTTAAATATATTTTTGTGTTTTGGTTTATCCTGTCTGCGCCAGGTGCCATCACTCAGTCACAGGCAGGTGTGCATAATGTCAGTCGGTGTCCATTTCGGCCGTCGGTGAAATAATTGTGATAGTAACAGTTTTTAGGTGAACGCAGAGAGATGACAGCAATGTTAAGAAGCACGTCTTTGTACGGTTGGCTCGTGTTTGTTTGTCAGTACGCTGTGCTGTGGGGCCACCTGCGTTTGCGTTTGAGATGCTGGGCAGCTTTGGCTTGTTAAGTGAATGATTATTTTCAAAAACGAGTATTGGATTTCACACAGGATGTAATGGATAAAAAGAATGTTGGATGTTAGAGCAAACATATAGTGGCAGTAGAATAAAAAATAAATGAGCGTGAGGTAAGTTTGTGTTCATCACAACCACCACTGAGATGCTAATCTAAATGTTACTGGTGCTATAGTAATACATCAGTTTTCAGTGGCAGACATTGTATAAGATCTTTTCCGTTCAAATTCTACAGCATTTCATACTCCAGTGTTCAAAGTGGCATTTATTAAGTCAGTCTCTTTGCTTTGACACTGTTGGTTCAGTCAGTCGCCACGTTTGTCTCATCATCAGCGCTTTTGTGTAGACTTGATGTATGTCGACCTCTGGAACATGAGTCCGGCTCGGAGGGCATTAGCTGCTGGCTTTCTGGGTTCAGCTGATGTGTCCTATACCTATGACTAACATGAAGGGAGGACATGCTGTTTTAAAAAGTGTTAGCCTTTGTGTAATTCATTTATGTTTTGCTTTGAAATCCGGGGCTTTTCCATGGAAAGTAAGCTGTGACATTAATTAAAAACCTAAGCCTTGTTTGTCTGTCGTCAGCATAACTTGTAAATAGCTGTTTTAAAAAGAAAAAGAATATCCCTTGGACAAAATGCACTGTTGTTTCTCCAACTCAAAACTTTTATTTATTTAAACAGAAATTATAAATATTGGAGAAATGATAGTGTACAGTGATAGAGCCACCGTTGATGATTCATTTTGTGCGCGGGCGACGGCTGTACGGAGGATTAGCAAACTACACAATGAAACAAGCTGTCAAAAAGAGAGGCAGTGCCTAATGACATCTGTTAACACCTGATGCAGAACTAGGCTACAAAATGGAGAGTTTTATATCTTTAAAAAAAACACACACACGAAGGTTTACTAACCAATTTAAGAAAACAGAAAAAAGATTTGAAAATGTTGTGTAGAGTAATAACAATATTTTAAATAAAGTTATATATTGGGGGAAAAAATCTGTTCAGTCTGCATTTATTTACTCTCTCTGGGATATGAAATGAAGCATGGACTCATTTTCTTTATGTTGGCAGTAATTTGTATTAACTAACCAGGGGGCTTTTTTACCAGCTGTTAAATGATAAAGCACTCGGTTTGTGTTTATCAATGTATGGATTCTTCCTTTCCAGTGGGACTTGGCCGATGTCAAGCCGGTCTCCTATAAAGACAAGAAGATAAAGCAACAGCAATGCTCATCTGGGACCAATTCACCTCCAGAAGCAAAAAGACCAGCTCACCTAATACGCTTTTAATGTCTTTAGATTTGAATTGGTCAAAATGTTACAGCCATGCTGAATAAATTGCTTTTAATGGGTGTTTCTTTTGGGAGCTGCCAAGCACAGTGATGGCAGAGTTTCATTCATGCCCTTCATTCAGTCTCGAGGCTCAGTTAAACCGCCTCACGTTTGAAGTAATTTGGCCTGTAAATGTGCATGTGTGCGGAGCATTTATGTAAATATGGTTCAAATTGAATCACTGGTGGTGAATGTTAAGTTCAGAGCAACATTCTTTGGAACAGGATGACTGAGTTAAGGGGCTGAAGCTGATTTGACAGCAATTTTTGTTTTTCTCCAGACTTGTAACTGCAGTGTACAGCCCGCCGGAAGAGACGTGAGGTGGGCTGATCGTGAGAAGGAACAGATGTGACAGTTTGTTGGCAGGGAACATTTCAGTAGCATATCCCATTTCCTTATGTCAGTAGCCTAAAGAGGTTTAAGATGAATAGAAAAGCACAATACACCACTTTTTTGGAGCCAAACAAATTACCAAAAAGATCAAAGAAAGACTGTGCTTGATCAGTAGATATCTTAAATATGAACAGGCGTGCTTTGCTTCAGTTGTCATAGTTTACTGTCCACTCTTAAAAATGCACATTTCCTGCTTGAAAACAGCCCCAGGTCTGCAGGAAAGGGAGAAGTGCTGTACAGTACATAATAGGTCCCATGTCAGGGAACACGGCCCCTAATAAAAAGGTCCACAGGCACATTATTCTTACAGAGCAACGGGCACAGTGACATTTTGACGGTCACGTGCTGCACAGATCTTTGTTCTTCACTGTGCTCAACAGGAGCCATTGCACGCCGTGAGAAGGTAGTGGGAAGCTGAGGTGAGGTATTATTCAAACCAAAAATACAGGGCTCTTTAATGCACACCGTGGAACCAAGCCCATAAAATGTTGTTAGCATTGGCACTGCTGAGGTGAAAATCCTCATCTCATTAGAGCTGTCTCATGTGGGCTCTATATGCTGACTGCAGGCTGCCACCCTGACTTCACCACCTGCCCTCACTTGCTATTTTTCTCATGTCACTGAGAGAGGGTAGAATTTAAACTCCCTACTCATCATCTATCAGGTGTGATTGTTGACTTATTATTAATCCTTAATAAGACTGTATAAACTTTGCTGTCCATCTGTGCTGTTATTTAGCAACCATAATAACCATAGCAATGCTACCTCTAACCCCGAGAATTAGCACTGTCTGAACTGTAACACTCAACTTATATTAAGAGAAGACTCCAGTAAGCACTGATTTGGTGATTTGCAGGTAATATGTCCAGACATCAACGTTCAAACTGGGCCTAACTTGGATGAAAAGTGAGAGCTTTTAGATGAAGAGGTTACATGGAACTACTGCTTAAACAGCATTGCACTTCAGTAAGTTTGTCATTAACACTGACGACACATTGAAATATAGTAATTAAAATGCTGACAAAAATGTTTGTCCAAATTTTACCTGGCTAGACATCTAAATGTCTTTTGATCAGCAAATCAGTGCTCATTGTTGGTGTAGGACAGTCCTTAAGTAGGCTACATTTCCTGAAGTGCTGTATTTGAGTACAAGTTAGAAGTACTTGTGCTATATACTAGTTTTTCTACATTATGCTGCTACTTTATAGTGCCACACAACTTCACAGGGAATATTGCAGAATTAAGACCTTCGATGGATCAACAGCCACAGGTTGAATATTTTCACTTGCAGTGGGGAGGAGGAGGAATGTGAACCCTCTTGTCACATAATAAAACACTTCTTCTAAACAGTTGGCCGATTTTAACTGTCTGGTTGGAATAATGTCCTCAGACCCACAGAGTGGCTGCTTACCCAGTGGTCACACCTGAGGGAAAATGTGTTAAGTCCGCTTAATGTCTACTTGTGTTGAGGCACCAGTGAAAATAGTGTGGGAGTCTCTCCAACACGCCAATCTCAGTTTTACCCAGAAGCAGCTGTTGGATTTATTTTTTGTCTTTTCTTGTGTGTTTATCTCCTGTGCCAAGCAAATTGCTTTTTGGTGTCTGGTTCTGAGAATAGAAGGATGGATCTGGAATATCAAATAACATTATATAACAAAAAAAAAAAGTACAATTATGTAATGTATAATTAAAATGCATAACTGTTTCAAATCAGGACTCCTAGCACCCTTCATGCATAGAAATCCTGGTATCCCTGTTTGTTTGTCCTCGTTTTAGTAAAACCATTGGAGTTGCACTGAATTGCAACATTCTCCGGTGATGGGCAACAGACGTGTATAAATATGTCTCAAAAACTGCAGTTGTGTGTCTTGAGATTTAAATTGTATATGTATTATTAGTTTAAAAGTAGCATCAGCACAAAAAAACATTTCTGCAGTTTCTTCTTTTCTTTTCTTACAGGTTTTTGGTATAATTTACTGTAGTTCTATACTGGTGAGAGATATAACAGGTGTCTAAAATAATAAGTGTCTGCAAAAGGCTTCATAATGATTCCAAGTCTGTTTCATCACATGAGCATAAATAACTGTTCTCATTCATTCTACCAGTGGAATTAGGACTGTTTAAAGGGGCAGCCCAACAATTGTACACATGAAGGTTAGTTTACTCGCCGCGGGGAATTCTGCTCAGCCTGTGAAAACAGTTGTTTAATGTGTTCTGTGGCTCTGGAGGGAGTTTTCCCAAGTCTGTAGAAATAACTGTGCTGATGTCTCAGCTTGGACTTGGAAACAACAACATTTTTAAGAGAAAGCATGCTTTACAAATTTGAGGTGAAGCATTTCAAAAGAAGAGTGGGTCTACTAAAAAACCCTCCTGTTCCTGTCCTGTGGAAAATGTTTTTGATTGGCATACTAGAGAGTAAAAGTAAGGGTATCTCAGCCTCTGCTGTTTTAACTTTGATTGTTCTTTTATTTCTACTATATTGTTTTCTGCTACCCCCCCCATCTGAACAGATGTTCATTATTCACAATACAACTGACCAACATTCAGTGATTCCCTCAGGTTGGAAAATTTGTAACTTAGAATTACAATTTACACTTTTGCCACTTTTGCTTATAGGTCTATATAAGGTTTACCAGTCAAGTAAGAAATCAGAACTCAGTCAGCTTAGCATCAGAGTGTAACAGTCTAATAGCCAGTATTGTAGAGAGCAACCAGGCACCCTTGACTTATTGGTTAAGAAGCCTTTGTTGCTCAGGGCGGACACCTCGTGTCCACTTAACCTTGCGACTGCGGCGGCCCGTGCTGGTTAAACAGCGGTCTGTAAAGTGACCGAATGTGGCTTGGCAGGATTAATCAAGCCTAACGACACATCTGTAGGTAGGCTGGCTGGGAGGAGTGAGCATCAATCACCCTCTGGAGCATCTCTCTCTCTCTCTCTCTTTCTCTCCTTCTCTCCCCCTACTCTCTGCTTCTCGTCAGCTGTATCGACCAACGCTTTGGGCCCTTGGTAATTAAAAGGCATTGATCGGCCTCAGCTGCAAGATGTTGGAATGCGATCATGCAGCACAGCACACTGGGCCCCTAAAGAGAACAGGTGTGCATGCACATGGGTGTGTGCATTTGAATGTGTGTTTCAACATGTATGTAGTGTGTTGTGCAAATGGTTAATGTACATTATGTATTACTGTGTTTTCATGCGATGTGGGATTCTCTCATGGAATATCTCTGGCTGTGTTTAGTCTTTTTTTGAGGTTAACTACTTTCTTATTCATTTGTATGTCTTGCATTCTTTTCGCTTACATATCACCCACCCCATTAACGCAGTGGTAGAGCTGTGTGAGGCCTAATGTGTCTCCAGTGAGGCTTACTTCAGGCATCTGGTAAAATGTCTGAGGGCCTGGGAGAAAGCTTTAGGCCAACGTGCTCTTATTAAATGAGAGTTGGGGGAGAAAAAAACAACAACAACTGATTGATCCTATGCATATGCAAACCCCCAATGCTCATCTTCCCCATGGACACACATACCCACGCAGTGTTCACACGCACACACGTTCTCTCTCTTCTTTTATTCCATCTGAGTGAACGCAGTAAATCTAAGTGCCACTAGATTGCAAGCGCTGCACATTTTTCAACCTCAGAGAGAACAGGGAGCCTTGCCTGGGCTGAATGAGGACCGGCACACTACTATAAATACACCCCTGACTCTTTACTCAGTCTGACACACTGACTGAGTGACACAGTGAAGGCCGCACATCAACCACAAAAACTTCCCGCTTGATGGACATGCATACTTGCATAAAAATATGTCTCTAATTTCTGTTTATTTCTGTACTACATATTTTCCCTTGTGATATGATATACTGCAGTGGCCTTTCATTTGATGTCTCTGACTGAGTTATGCTTGTCTGAGCACCCATCTCTGCTGCCTCTGTCCCTCATAAATCCGATGAATTACCCAGTATGCCCCCCTCTTTCCTCCATTAACGCTCCCCTCCTCTTCCTCCCAACCCCCCCACCCTCCCTCTCCTCTCCTTCCTGAACGAGTGATCAATTAAGGCCCTGTCCAGCCCTCACTGCGCGTCAGCACTTTCTCTCCCCCCTTGCATCCCCTCGCTCCTCGTCATTTTTCTCTTCTTTTTGGGTGTCGT